ACATCAAATAGACATATTCTTCATGAACCAATGTCAGCTTATTCTTCTTCACAATTAATAGGAGACATTTCCTAACTTTGTGCAGACTTGTACTGAGAAGTGTCTCTCTTTTCAGGACTTTCTGGAATCATCCAGCAACTTGATGGAGAAGTCTCTTGAGAATTCTTGGAAAGGAATGGTTGAAAACAGAAATATGTCATTGGCTGAGACATATATGACGTCTGTTGAGAAATTAATTGAGGCGGCAAACATTACGAGTAACAACACAAAACAAAATATAGAGGTGGCTACGTGTAATAAAGAACAGGGGTCGAGATGTACCAACATTGCCTTCGGTGTCACTGTCGATTTGGAAAGTGCAGACAATGGCAGCGTGAGAACAACTGGATTTAAACAACTGCAGAACTATTTGCCCCAGACAGATGAGAAGTACGACATCAACAGCATTGTTATGTCGACAATCACTCAAAAGATACACTCGGGTTCAGTTGTGGTTGAAATTAGATTCCCGTTGCTCCGTCCGAGGTCTCGCAACGTAGAGATAAAGTGTGTTTCATGGGACAAAGTCACCAGGCAATGGTCATCAGATGGATGTGAATGGATGGGTCCGTCCAATGATGGACACTGTGTTTGCAGACATTTGTCCTCATTTGCCATTTTAATGGCTAAGAATCCGATAGTTCTCCCAGGGATGACTGAGATAACCATGTATGGACTGTCTATATCAGTCATATCTCTTGTTATTAATCTTGCAATAGAACTGATCGTCTGGAGGGCTTTAGTTAGGACAAATACTTTATATTTACGGCACATTGCCCAAGTAAACATTTCTCTATGTTTGCTAGTCGCAGATTGCTGTTTTTTAGCATCTAACAAACCTAAGGAAATTTCAGAAATCTGGTGTAAGACCTTTGTGGTGTTGAAGCATTTCTGTTACTTGTCCATGTTCTTTTGGATGTTGTGTCTGAGCAGCACGCTTCTTCATCAAACACTTTTCCCGTTCCACATTGTGAGCAAGAAGAATTACCTGAAGTTCGGCATAACCCTGGGCTACGCATGTCCGCTACTTATCGTTGTTATCACAGTCCTTTGTTACAGCAGTGGTGCTGAGGGCATGTACTTCACCAGGGACACCTGTTGGCTGGTTTATAGTGGACTTTTTCGTGGGTCCATCCACTCATTTATCATACCAGTCGGTACAATTGTTTTCATCAACGTGTCCTCCATGATGTTGGTAATCATGAAGCTTTTGCATCACCCTAAGACGACAGAAGCACCTTGTGACAAAACCGCTGCTAAAACTATCATAAGGACAATTATTCTTCTGACTCCGATCTTTGGTGTCACTTGGATCTTTGGATTTGGTGTAACTATTCTTGACCTCACATCTGGAATCATGGCCTCCGTGGTCAATTATGTTTTTGTCCTGCTGAACTCTTTTCAGGTATGCTTCATTTAATCCTTAACTTGACATCTGAACCAGTACCAGTAAGTATTTCTGGTTCAGTAACCTCTGTCATTTCATTCACAGGGTTTGTTCATTTTGTTAACCACGCACCTGGGGGACAAACTGGTGAGGCAGTTTTAAATTGTCTTCATAATCAATAATACATTTGATTTTCCCTGTCTGTGCTTTAAATGGCCATTATTGGAAACATTTTGTTTTGTAAGAGAATTTAAAACTACCAGCAGCCAATTATCTTAGTTTAGTAAAAAGAAAATACAAGTGTATAAACATGATCATTTGTAGTTTTACACGGAGTATCATTGTTTCCATGTGGTTGCCAGATACGTCGCTGCTCCAGAATTAATGAGTCAAATAATCCACCATGAGACAATAAACTATTTAAAAAATATATAAAATTATTACTCCTTGTTTTTTGTTCAAATTATACAAACCAGACACACAATCCTGATAAGCAAACTATTCGGTGCTGATCACTCAATCATTTAAAAAGTTTGTGACAGTGACAAAAGGTAAAAAAAAATCCCCAAATAGAAAAATATTTGAAATTGCAGCCACTTTCAAAACTGTACGTCAAATTACGGGCTTTTATCCAAAGTACACCACATTATCATAAGTAAGACATTTTAAAATATCAAATGTGTAAAAGTAAATGTCATCCACAACAAACAGGTCTTGACAATAAATGTGTTTTAATCCCATTTTGACAGACCCGTGACGCACTGCTAAAGCATCTGAAAAAAAAGGTAAGTGTACAACAACTGGGTTTACTTGTGAATATGTACAACACAACAATGATTGTTGATTTTTTTTTTACACATCCTTCTCCTCTGCTCTCTAGGCATCTGCCAGTGACAGCTCCACGACGTTGGACACAATAATGAAGAAGTGAAAATACTTTTCCTCTCAAATCAGGACAAACTACACGATAGAGCGAAACAAGCTACATGCATCATGATGCAATTGTTTGGATGTTCAACTTTAGTTCCAAAGCTGTATTATATGATAATACTGTATGTTAAATATTTTTCACTGCACTGGGAAGTCACAGCAAAACTGTGAACTGAAAGGCTACAAGGATGAAACTCATGTTTACATTGCGTTGTTGCGTGATGGTGAGTTGGGCCTACATCCGAATGTTTCTGTTAGAGATCTGGCTTAATTTTCTTTGCCATGATCTGCCCACTCCTCATCTGTGTCATCCAGTGAAATCCCTTTCTGGGCTGCCATCTTGCGGTAGGCCTGGCACTCGATCTCTGCCCTGCAACACACAAAAAAGGACAATATGTAAAAGTTGTATCACAACTTTTATTGGCCTGTGTGTTTGAAAGAAAAGCTTTGCCTTTATAAAGAAAAGTTTACTAAAAATAATGACAAGTGGAAATGTGATTCACAGGCTGCTGTTTAGATACTTTTTAAGGAATCGAACGCAGTCCTGGTGTCCATATATTCCGGCTATCCGCACTGGTTTGTCTCCGCAGCAGTCCTCCTTGTCTATGGGAGCGTGAAAGGAGTGCAGCAACCGCAGAGCAGCCAGTCGCCCGGACTCTGCAGCAAAGTGAGCAGGAGTCCATCCGTGCTCCGTCCTCAGACTGGGCCTTGCTCCGTGCTCAATGAGGATCCTGACTGTTTCTGTGTGTCCTGTGGAAGAGGCAGCACAGTGTGATCTGATGCAGGTGTTTAAGAGTTCGATGTTTAATTATTCAGTCTGTTAAAAAAACTAATTCTCACTGCTGCAAGACGAGACTGCATGTGTCCTGCACGTGAGCAGATGTTCACAACGAAAATAATCTAGATGATCGGGTCATCTTGACTCAAGATTTGGTTTTACTTTAATATACATAATTTAATATGCTTTAAAGGTTTTTAAAATGATTTAAATGTAGATACTTGGAAATAAACACATATATTTCAAATGATAAGAAATAGATTTGTATTTTTATTTTAACTATAATTTATGTGTTTGAATTTGGGTTTTGGGACCTTTCCCCTCTCTGTTAATTTACAATGAAATGACAATATTCTGAAAATGGGAACTAATGTGAAGACTGATGTATTTCATGTGATGTTGTGTGTAGTAGGATGTATGTGAATATTTTCAAACGGCTTTCGAGCATTGTTGATAAAGAAAAGAAATCTTAAGTGACTGGCTCGAAATCCGTTTATTGTTGAACTCAAGTGGTCTAAAACTTTTCAGGATGTATGTTATTATTTTAAAGTAATATAATTGTACAAAATTTGATCAGGTTTGCATTTTTTGTATTTGATAGATATTCTATTGTATTTTTAAGTTTTGTGGTCACAACTTAAGGATAAGATACAATTTCTCTGTTGTTTTTGATGATGTTGAAGCTTTAAAATGATCTAAAAACCTAGTGATTCACGATGATTATTAAAACTGGCAAAAAAAAAAAACATGGTCTGAAAAAGCCTTTGTATTAAAAATTCAAAACATAACTTCAACAGCCAACTACAATGAATGAAAGGGGCTAAAACATCTGGTCTTTTGATCACGTACACACACAACAAAGCTTTTTGAATGGCGACACTTGAGACTTGTGATAGCAGGTGAAAGTAGAGACGGATCCACTACCGTCTACCTTTGGCTGCTGCCCAGTGAAGAGGGGTCTTGTGGCTCCAGTCGATGTCCCTTTGGTCGGGGCTGCATTTGTTCTGCCTCAGAATATCCTCCACTCGCTCAAAGTCTCCGGCTGCGGCAGCTTGGTGCAACTCTGTCATTTTGTTACTGAGGTCGCCCAGCAACGGCCGAGCAACACAACATGAAGTCCAGCTCCTGTAACCTGAGCCTGTGAGCGGTGATGCTGCCTCCTGGCTGCTGCAGACAAAACACTGTTGGAAGTATGTGAAATGTTAATATTTAACTCGATGAGCATATAAACTTAGGAAGAATTAGCTTTTAAAATCTTTGGATATACAGAATTTAAGCTTAGTGACCGTTAATCGACCTTTGCTCAAAGAAAGTAGTTTATAATTACTTAAAACATACAAGAGTCAGAAACATTTCTTAAGCTTGTTAATGAGCTGCAAGCATCAGAACTGTGATAACTGTCTCTAGGATAACAGAAGAAAAAACTAAAACGGCTCAATGGTCTGTATTTATTTGTGCTTTTCTAATTTGGATAACCACTCAAAGGACTTTACAGTACAAGTATGTCATTCACCCATTCATACGAACCTTAATCTATTTGCATAACTTTCTCTATCACACATTAGTCATACACTGTCAGATCGGCCGTCAGAGGCAGTTTGGGTTCAGTATCTTGCCCAAGAGGAGACAAGGATTGAACTGCTAACATTCTGGTAAGTGGACAAACTCTATCTGCCTCCTTTTATTCCAACAACAGATCGATTATATGTAGGAAAAAAAGCGCAGTGCCTGCAAATATGTGGCTTTCTGCTTGAAATTTACCAAAAAATAGTTGATTATAAAAATATTTGATACACCATTTTAGAAAAATAACTGCCCGCGATAAATTACGTCAGAAGATTTGTCAGATTATTATTATTTTGTTATATTTGAAGGGCATAGTTCATACAGTAAAAAGATTATTTTGAAAAGATTAACGTAGATTAAAACCCTTCAAAAGAGCTTGTTTAAAAAAATGTGATCCCATACTTATCCTTTCAAGTGTGTTTATTGACACAAATTAACTACACATTAGCTTAATTTAATCTTGTTCATGAAAGAGAACATTTTCAAACATGTTCTCGTGAGTCGAGAACTCTTCGTTACGACTCGGGTTCTCCACAAGCAGCCCAGAGCTGAAAGAAATGAATAAGAAATGCAATAATTAAAACTGATTACAGCAGTAGTTTTAAAAAAATCCCAGGATGATCCTCATGATATGTACAAGATGAGTCCTACCATTCATTTGCTGGCTTCATCATTATCTTAAACTCCAACAACCTCGTCCGTGGTTTTGGTTTCATCCTGATGCACTAAGATTAAAGAGAAAATGTCATCAAATAAAATTTAGGGAATATGAAATCAAAAACCTCATTAAATGTGTAGTTTATATTGTATATAGTATATTGTATATAGTCTCTGACCTGATTCAAAACCTTCTGCTAAGGCAGGATCAGGGTGTAATCCATTCCAGTATTTCTCCATTATCGCATTTACAACCACCCCCTCGTACTCAAGCTCCACTGAATACTGAGGAAGATCAATCTCTGAATGATCCTCCATGTTCAAAACTGTCACTCTGAGTGGTTTATCCACCAGGAGATTGTAGAAGTCATCGTATACTTGGTCGTCCCAGGTGCCATTTGACTCATCGAATCCATCCAA